CAGCTTTTCAGGTCCAATACCACAGTGAGCGGCGCACTGGCGCCTACAAACCTAACAGGGATACTTCACGCATTGCGCAATGCGTGAAGTATCCCTGTTAGGTTTGTAGGCGCCGATGCGCGTTTAGCGCTGGCTACCCGCCCGCCGCGCCGCGCCGCAGCGTACCACGGCGCTTGAAGCAACTATTTCACACCAGAGGTATTGCACAGTATCATACGAAATTGAAGGCGCTCCGACATATTCGGAATGGCAGGCATCCTTCAAAAGTACGGAGCTTTCCTCGCAAAATAAATCAAGATACTGCGGCCCAAAAAGAGAGCGGTAGTTCAAAAACTCACTGAGTCCTAGCAACCGTAATTAGTAACGTTTAGCATACACTTTATCGCCAGGCTATTGCTTAATCGCCATCGGCTATAAAAGGCTATGAGAAATTGTGTTGCCGGCTATAGGAGCTATTGGAAATCTTACAGCCGGCTGTAGGTTTATGGTATTTTGGAACACAGATTCTACTGCCAATTTTCACCAGGGCAGAATTCTTTTTGCGGAAAAACCGCACGCATTCGATGCAGAGGCGGATCATTGTATCGAATGGCAGGTTTATTTAAAAAAGAATCTTGATTTCGTTTCTCTAAATTTTGCCAATTTCTTTGTTGAGAATGATTCTTTAGGCTACTGCAGAGACTACCATCCTTTTTTGACTAAAAATTCAAAAATTCCCGAGAATCTTAGGTAATCGATGCGGACGCCAGTTTGAACACGCCAGAATCCGGGAAGAATTACCGTCTAACCGCCGGTAATCGAGTTTCGAGGACACAAAAAGAAACTTCATTCTTCCGACAATTCGCCATACTTCTGTTCGACGAAGACCATTTTTACTCGGGCAGGGGTCGGAGAAAATGAGTAAGAAATAACAAATTTTGAAATTTTCCCCTCTTCTACAAATCTTTTCAGTGCAGCCATATTAAGCAGTACTAGGTATGACAGCCAAACAGCATGTATGCTCGGTAACTATTTTGAAAAATCAAACTTTGTGCCCTTACTCATGGTTTTTACTATGAGGAAATAACATATACTGCGAAAGGTTGCTAGGGAATTGAGCGCTTTTCCCAAAGAAGCAGGTTTTCCCAAGGAGGCAGGAAATTTGGCGGTTTTAAATAACTATCAATTATGCTTTTTTTTTATTTGGACTACATTCTGCAATTGAATCAGTGAGAACGAAAACACACCAACTTGGTAACTCAAAGATGCTCAATTTTCATTAAAAAGAGTCAGTTTTCATGAAGGTCAATGAAGTTAATGCATTTGTTCCAACTTAGACCTTTAAAGTGTCCTTAAGTACTTGTCTTCCGGCACCAAATCTTTTTCTTGCGCTAACTTCTTCAACTACTGTGCAGTTTTGCGTGTGTCTTGATTATTTTCATTTTTTCGAGTTGGTGCGTTTTCGTTCCCACCGATTCAATTGGGAACTATACCATTTCTGGCCTAGCCGTAAAAACACTTACGTGCATAGGGAAATTAATAGCACTTACGTTATTTCTAAACTGCATTAGAATTAGTGCGGTTTCTAATAGCAAAATGGAGTCCATTTTATCCACCTAAAATAGGGCTGTTACGCTTGTGAGCAACAGACCAAATCTGTCGTAAGTCGTCACATGTGCCTCAAAATTCGTCCAAATTGGGGCTTTGCGCTCGACTCCACAATTCGTCGCTCCTCTGACGACGACAAAAGAGCGTATCTCAATATCCACGTGAGCCTTGTTCTCCGTACAACTCAGTGGCGTAGCGTTAATTGCGATACATCGATTGTTATGCCATTTAAACCTATGATAAAGCATCGATTACAAAGGTGTTCGCTGCGAACACCCTAATTATCGATCCTTTTCCATAGATTTAAATGGCACAACAATCGATATATCGCAAAGCACGCCACGCCACTGGTACAACTCCATGTTTTCCAGGGCTTACGTGGGAATCGAGATACCCTTCCACGTCAGAGTAGCGACAAACTGAACGCCAAGGACACCGGTAAACCTCTAAGTAGGTGTTATTTTTCATGAAGTCAGTCACGCGTTCGCCGACAAACGTTTACCAACACCTCGCTCCAGGCTCCTCCGTAGCTGCACCGAAACCTGAAATCCACGCTTTTCTCATGAGCCGTGATACGCAAGCATCCTTGTGGACTCTGGGGGTCAGCCCGAAAATGAACGTGTGAGGTTTTGAAAAGGACCGCGGTTCGACAGTGGTACTTCGTCGGGTCCGGGTTCGAAGGAAATGATGGTGCGCAAATTCATGATCGCGGCCAATTTTCCGTCCTGTGTGACGTCCCGACGCACCCGACGCGACGTCGCGTCGCGTCGCGTCGCATCGCAGACAGCGCGAAAAGTGCCCCCGCTGATTCTCCCATGCAGAGCAAAAACGACGTATGCGCATTTGAATGTTGCCAAACTTTCCCTGATTTTTTTTTTAAATTGAGGAGTTGAAGGCTTTCAGTCATTTTCGATTCTGGCAGTGAAGCTCACCGTGCAATGAAACGAATCTTTCAAAGATAGGTTGAACATGAAATTGTCGACTAAAACTGCAAATTTAATTTCAATTTTTCTTCCTCCTCTTTTTCTTCTTCTTCATCATCTTTTTCTTCTTCTTTATCTTTCTTTTCTTCTTCTTCTTTTTCTTCTTCTTTCCTCCTCCTCCTCCTCTACTTCTACGAACGGAGAGGACATAGCTTTGCCCTGGTAAAAATTGGCGATAAGAGCTGCGTTTCAAAATACCATAGGAATTCTTATAGCCGGCTAAAGAAGGCTACAGAAAATCATATAGCTGGCTGTAGAATGCGGAGAAAATCATACGGTCGGGCTATACCTACGAAGCGATAAAAAAAGATGCAGCCGGGCTATAGTTCCTACCGCCGGGCTTTACACGTTTTCGCCTGGCTGTTGCTTTTTCGCCATCGATTATAAAAGGCTACAAGAAATTGTGTAGAAATTCGTGTGCTTTGGAAATCATTAAGTTTGATACGGAGCCACCTTAATATTTACAAAACACACATTATATTTTCCTTTAATACATATTTTTTTTCATCAATTAAAATGAGAATGATCCATACAGGATGTGCAAACATTTCAAAATCATGAGTTGAATAACGCTGACTCCGCCAGATTAAATATTAGAGCCTAACACAAAGCAGAGCGGCGCGGCGACTCACTGGCGCCTACAAACCTAACAGGGATACTTCACGCATTGCGCAACGCGTGAAGTATCCCTGTTAGGTTTGTAGGCGTCAATGCGCGTTTTGCGCTAGCTGCTCGCCGCGCCGCGCCGCGCCGCAGCGTACCACGGCGCTTGAAGCAACTATTTCACACCAGAGGTATTGCACAGTATCATATGAAACTGAAGGCGCTCTAATATATTAGTAATGGCAGGCATCCATCAAAAGTACGGAGCTTTCCTCGCAAAATAAATCAAGATACTACGGCCCAAAAAGAGTTCAGTATTCCAAAAACTCACTAAATCCTAGTATCCGTAATTAGTAACGTTTAGCATACACTTTATTGTCTGGCTGTTGTTTAATCGCCATCGGCTATAAAAGGCTATAAGAAATTGTTTATCCGGCTATAGAAGCTATTGGAAATCTTACAGCCGGCTGTAGGTCTATGGTATTTTGGAACACAGATTCTACTGCCAATTTTTACCAGGGTGTTTGGCATGCCATTTAGTTCCGAGCTTCTTAATTCATGATTATAATAAAATCATATCTTCGGTAAATACATATATAAAGGACTCGTTAAATCAATAAAACAAAACCAGCAATGAAATATTCAATCATCTTCAAAAAGAGCCTTAATTTTTTCATATTAAGAGTTAATTTAGAAATAGTTAAAGTCTTCATCAGGTAATCGCATCGGGGTGCTTCTTGATCGAATTTTACGAGAAAATCAATGATACCACTCCTGAAACCTATCTGTTCAGTATCAACACCGAAATGAGCTTTTAATGTTTGTACATTTTGTCCGACTCCTCTCATTGGCTCGCTCCATTGAGCGTTGCTGGTGAGGCGGATTGTGTCTGGAGTCAAAACGCCTTCACTCCCATGCGTATGCGACACGGACATCCGTGGAGCCCGAATTGTTGCATCCAGGCTTTAGAATGAAATTTGTTTCGAATCCGTCGCATGCGACACTAACCAAAGCTTTGATTGTTTCTCCCACACAATTAAGCCGACCTCACACGCTGAAAATGGAGTTCTGAAAATGGTTCATCGATATCTCTGTTGAATGTTGACCCTCAAAACCCATCTCCAGTTATTGTTCGTTTAATACCAAAAATATTGCGAATTTATACAAATGTACAACTTTTACAATTTTGCGAGTAGTTTTAAAGCTCAGGCCGCCATTTTATGGACAAAAAAGTGAAATGATGGCTAATTTAGCCCCGATCTCACTGATCGCCGAAAATTGCGTGTTGTGGTCCACTTTTCAGGGCACCGCTCAACGATGCATCGGTGACCTTTATTTTCAGCTCCTAGTTTCAGCGTGTAAAGTGGGCTCAACTTGATTCCAGCAAAGCAATTACTGATAGCAAAGGAAAAAATTCAATGGAATTTTCGAGAAATTACTTTGACTAGTTTTTAAAAGAATGAATACAATATGCAAGGAAGTCTGCAACATCGAAAACAGAGATAGGTACGTGTACGTGGTTTTGCACTTGTGTTCTTACACTTTTTTTTTTTTTTTTTTTTTTTTTTTTTTTTTTTTTTAATAGCAAATCCTTATGTAACCAGTGGAAATTTCACACCATCTGACTTTCCATACGATGTTCGCACTCATCATCGCGATATTAGCTCCCGATCCCCACTTTGCTGCCCGTTGCCAACGAAGATATCGCTTTTCCGGTCCGCAGAAGAGGAAAAGTGACCTTCACACGTTGAAACAAATCAAAATTAGGTGTCAAAAAGCATGATTTAAGAGCTTGATTGTCGTCCTCGGGATGTTGGTCGGTCATCGTGCTTCCGGATTTCAACAATCATCTCCAATCAGCTCATAAAATCAACATCCCGCACCTTTGGGCTCTGATACGGTTCCATGAAGTGCCAGTGAGTTGGTGTCCATTGAGTTTCGTTTTTCCGCTCAACACAAAGCTCGCCGCAGTTATGGCAATGCGTGCTCTTATTGGTCTATTTCTCGTTGCGGCCTTCTTCGTACAGGTAAATCTAAGCAAATAGGAATTGATTCAGGAGTTACAACGTTGTGCATGGGTAAAAATGCCTGACTTGGTTTTTTTTAAAAAAAAATTGATTTTTTTTTACGAGATTTCACGAAAAGAGATCAAGCATATCGAAGGCGGTATTTTCAAATCACGTATCTCGTTTGCGGTGTTTGAAAATCTCCGCTTCCATTTTACTTTTGTGCACTACCGTGCTAAGAAAAAACGCCGTATGAGCCTTCAGACGTTACCAAGTTTCCTTCGATAAAAACCGAAATTACTGGGAAAATTGTTGATATTATTTTCTCAAAATTTCAAACATTTTAATACGTATAATTTAATCTAAAATATCTGAAAATTTCAAGGAATAATACGCATGAATTTTGTCAAAAATACAGGCTTTGTCAAGGGCAATTTGGCAACTCCCAAATGTTCATACGGCGTTCTTCTGTAGCACGGTAGTGCAGGTGAAAGAATCCACATCATTCCTTGAAGTTTTCACAGAATTTTTTCCGCACAGAAAAGAAAAATCATGGCAGTTTTTGAAAATAGCAGCTGAGTTGTTTCCCATTTAAAAAAATAAAATACGACAGGAAGTCTGCAACGTCTCAAACCGAGATACGTAGTTTGGGGGTTGCACCGTCGATGAGCGTTCCAATGGGTCAGTGGCACCCATTTCTTTTAATTTAGTCTCTGAAAGTACGGATTGAACAGCATATCGTCGGTGAAACTAGACCACGTATCTCGTTTGCTGTGTTTAAAAATCTCCGCTCCCATTTTATTTATTTGAAGGAGGGCGAATCATTCTCATTCCTTGAAGATTTTACAGAGTTTTCCTCGCTTAGAAAGGCAAATTCACGGAAGTTTTCAAGGATTGACATTGGGTAGTATTCCACTAATAAAATAAAGTATAACAGGAAGTCTGCAATGTCGTAAATCGAGATACGTGGTCTGGTAGCTTCACCGTCAATACGCATTAATATGTGTCTTCTCTGAATAGTTAACTTAACTATTTGCACATCGCACTCCCCAGTAGGTATGTTGCCTATGCAACAATATTGAAGGCGAATTTCAGATAGACAACAGCATTCATCGGTTCAATCAAAGCTCATAAAGCTATATAAAAATGTGTTTCGCAGCTCTAAGAACCAACTCACGAGGAGACCTGCTTGTAAATGACAGGGCCTGAAAAAAGCCCAGGCACTTGCATGTTTGCCTAACTTCTTTATTGATTATTTACTACCGATAATAATACAGATATTCCCAGTTTCCGCGTCAAATTTCTACAAATCAGAACAAAACCTCTACAAATTTCAGCTCATCCCCAGAAGTGCTGATATTTTATCGAAAAAGATTTTCGGGAGAAAATTCGGAAATAATTGTGCCGAGATTTGCTTAATTGACATCACAAATGTGCTGCTGGCATGATTTCTTATTCTTACATTCTGCAAAAATGCTGATTTACACTTGATGGGCATCCCAGTGTACAAGATGGTATTTTGAAAACGTTTAGTTTATTTCAAAATATGCACATTCATTGATTAATTTTGATCCCACTCTAGTATTAACCGATAATACTGAATTTTTGATCATCCAAAAAGTGTATCAATCGGCTAAACCCAACTTATCGAAAAACTCTCTTTTGACCGTGCTTTTTGTAGCGATGCAAGGCAGAATCGACAACTCCAATTCCAATGCCAGAAGAAGAAGATGAGCTACCTGCGCGGTTTCGCTCTAGAGTCGTCAGGTCCGCTTCTGAGGAGAAATCAAAGGAAGACTCCTCTGAGGAGTGCGGCCCTCCACAGCACCACCATCCCCACCCTCATAAGGTAAACACTCGTGAGAAAGTACACTAAGACAGAGATGGTATACATTTTCCAGTGGAGAATTTGCAGGAGTCTGAAATTTTGTGCACTGAAAAAAAATTCTCGGTGTTTTTACCAAGGTCCGTTGGTACCTTTACCATTTCAATTTTCTTACCAATTATTGGTAATTTTACCAAGACAGACTGGTAAGCTAACCTAAAAACCGATATTTTTACTGTCTTTTTCAGGCAAGGATACCACTTTCATTGGTAATCAATTCCCGGTAACTTTGCCATTTTATCTCGGTAATTCTACCACAGTCGATAAAAAATATTGGCGTTTTCACCAAGGTCCAGTAAAATTACCGAGAAAGTTCAATTTTTTTACCGAGATTTCTCGGTAAAATTACCAGTTCCATAAATGGTAATTTTACCGAGAAAAAACTGGGATCAAATAGAACCCTGAATTCTTGGTAATTTTACCCTTTTCTTAGTAAATACACCGAGATTTTTTTTCAGTGTGTTTGAGAAGAAACCACCGAGTGAACTGAGCATGAGAATATCCTCGGTTTCTAAAATGAAATATTCGTTGTTTCCCGGACGAAGGAGAGTAACTCCATTCCAAGGTTGCAAAATTGATCCAAAAATTAAATTAATTATAAGAGCGTACCTGTGCAATTTTCGTCCAAAATTTGTCTGATTTTTGCACGAGAGCAGAAGCTACTTAAATCGGTGGAATTTTCAGCTAGAATTGCCCAAGATTCTCCTGGTAAAAATACAGTACGCGAGGGGAAATTTTGCAACATTTAAATGCAGTTACATTCCTTCGTTGGGGGAACGACACATTAGAGATTAAGGCCAAATGATCTAATCTGCTTATTTATATGTTTTTAAATGGGAAATGCCGCCTGATGAAGTCACAAGGCGGCAGATTTTTTTACTTATATACCTACCAGTGGCGGGCGTGAATTGCGATTTATCGATTGTTGTCGATATACCATTTAAACCTATGGTAAAGAATCGATTATTAAGGTGTTCACTGCGAGCACCCTGTTGATCGATCCTTTTCCATAGGTTTGAATGGCATAACAATCGGTACATCGCAATTCACGCCACGCCACTGATATCTACATTTCGAAAATTTCCCGTTTTAGAAAAAAATTATGAAAAATACTGCGGGCACAGCTCATTAAGCACTATAACATAGCAGCAATAAAAAAATCGCGCAAATTCTCCATTAGAAATTAATGGAGTAACTAATAGAGTAACCGATGGAACTAACTCAAGTTCATTTTAAAAATAATAACTTAAATGCTATGAATGATCCTATACAGAATCGTGCTGATTATTATATGTATCTTATTTTTCTTTTTCCTCCACTAAAGGAAATAATCCGCACGTCATTGCTTTTTAGGACCAATGAGACGGATTTTTCCATTGAAATCTCGAAATCAAACTTTTGACCAAACTCGGCAAAAATTCCCCCGTTGAAATTGTTCAACATGTTCTTTCAATATTTCAGCCTCCACCAGAGTGCTGTAAAGGTTTACCGAGGCCGTGCAACCCAACTGAGGACAAGAAAGCATGGGACACGTGTGTAAATAAACTTTCGAAGAAAAATCCAACAACCCCTCAACCGACAACCCAAGCAAGTGAGTTTCTAATCAACCTAAAATGAAAACGATTCACCGAATTTGTTTACCAAAAATTGTAGAATGTAAGGGGATCATAGTTTCAAACATTATTGCTAGAACACACAGACCAGACTTGCCTCCTCCTTAGCAGGGTGGCAAAATTTCATGAAAAATAAAATCTTGAAATTTCATGTGAAATATTTCAAGAAATTTCAAAAATATATGAAAAATATTGAAAAATACCGGTTCCTCATCATGTTTCAAAAAGTGTAAAAATCTTGACTTTCCTCTATTTTTGTCTGTTTAAGTGCGGGTTGCATAGGCTGGCCCCTGAAAAATATTAAATACTTCACAGCCTCGTGAAATTTCATGAAATGTTTCACTGAAACTTCCAATCTTTCAAATCTTTCTTACGTTTCATGCCTCTCTGCTCCTTAGACTCCCTGCGCTCTCTTCGTAGCTCCCTCCACCACGGCTCTCCAATTAAAATTAACCAAAAACCTAAGATTACCTTTCTTCAGATCTCAACTTTGTCCATAAGCGGATCCAGACACTTCAAAGTGGTGGCGGGAGGGAGGGGGGGTTGAAAGCGTGGTCCGGAGGGCTTCCTCCAGAAAATTGTCGAAATTGTAAGGCATCTAATGTGCAGTTTTAGTCCATTTCGTTATGAATAATTATCAAGTATAAGCGTCCTTCCGTCTTCTTTCCTCCGTTCCTTCCTTCTTCCTTTCTCTCTTTTTCTTCCTTCTTTTTTTGGCGAACAGGGGAGGGATGATCACGCCCCCTACGCCTACTACGACCCCCTCCTCCCCCTGTGAATTTGTCCCGGCATTTGTCTCATTTAAAAATAAATTTTTGAGTTAGAAGGCCTCCAAATAATTTACCTTGCACTATTATCATTTTCATTATTAACCGCTTATTTTTACTATTTCCGATGTGCAGATGGTGGTAAACCAGGCCATGGTCCGATGCATGGGATTGATAAACAGGTAATATTTATTTTTCACATTTGGGGGTATATTAATACAACGTACGTGTTGAGGGAATTCTGGAGCCTTATCATTGTGAGACATACCTACACATCACGACCAAGGGACTTACACGCACAAAATTTGATATATTTTTCCTACTTATAGTATACGGATACACAGTGGTTTACAAAATTGGATTTTTTTTCGTGAAAAAATAAATTAAAAATGTACAAAAAAGGATAAATTTGACAGTGTGGGCATCTGACTGTACATGCAACTTTCAGAATTTAGCTTTCAAAAAAAAGGAAATCAAATTGCGGCTCATTGAATACGGAAGTTTAGCGACAGAATACGTACATTCCTGCGCAAATCTGGGGGATACTAGAAAAAAAAGAGAGAGAGAAAAGGACCCGATAAAAATGGATAGTATTCGTCGTATTTTTTATGAAAACTGAATAATAGAAAAATGTATTTATATTTTAATTTCAGTGTATGGTAGAGTGCGTCTACAACGAAACTGGACTCCTGGTAAGCTGTTTTTAAATATTAACTAAAATAGAGAGAAAGATTAGGTATTACACTCGCGAAAAGAATGATGAGTAATCTGAAATACTCGTTTACTCAACCACAAGTAACGTGAAAGTTTCGTGTCCATGCTGTAAAAAGGGGCGAAAAATAGCTGCATGGCGTTTTAAAAATTGCGAATTCAACGAAAATACACGGAAATACACGAAAATGAGGAGGGATGTTCTTTCTAGATAGCACACGAGTATGCATAGAGTATTTTATGACTATTCGTAGGAAAAACGCATTCAACAAGAATTTTATGAATATTCACAGGGAAAAAAGAATATTCATAGAATATCTGTCATCCGAATGTTTAAGTCCATTAAGTATACCTATTTCAATGGCATTTCAACTTGCGCAAAAATAATTCCTATCTTAAAGCGATGTACATGCTATAATGCCACATCCTCTGTCAAAACACGCGTTCATAGATAGTTTCCTTTTTCACCCATTATCGGAATTTTTAAGCACTGCGTTCAGAAACTTACATATTTTCATGACTTGGATCTTCCGGGAGGAGGGTGTAAAGGGGGCTGTCGCCAACTTTTTGAAGTTGATTTAACTCTTGCTGCACCTGTTACTAACTTTTTCATACAAGAGGTTTAAGTTGATCGTCCTACCCGTGCGGTCAAGTCTCTCGCCGGCAGCCCGAAACATTGTTGCCAGATTGTGCTGAAAACCAGCACTTTCCCCATCTGAACCCGTGTATAATATTCAAATTTTAATGCACAACTTGACCCGAAAGCATTTATAGACCAGTGCTTGGGAAATTAGCGCTTCAGCGGGTTAATTACTGAAATTGATAGACAAAGCTATAGACAAAGAGGACATTGGGAGTATGGAGCGATCCTATTGATTAAAACGGGTGGTTGTTATGGACTAAGGCACGTTCTCTGGTGGGTTGCCATCAGTTAGTCTATTACTTACCTCATTTGTCCATTGCAACCACCCGCTTCCAGGATGGCTTACTTTTCTGTTAGTCACAATCTTTGTCTATCGCTTTGTCTATAAATTTTAAAAATCAGCCCGCTGGACATTTTCGCTTTTGGATATACTTATCATGCGGCAGAGTACGTTTATAGGAAGAATAAATGGCCTGAGTCCAATACAGACTCCTTGGGATTTCGACAGGGTCATCAATAAAATATGAGAAATGTTTTTTAAATACTACCGTTTGTTGTTTGGCGTGTTGTTTACTGGCGGCACCTCCCCCCCCCCTCTCATCTTCCTCTAAATAAAAATGTGTTCAATTTTTCTGACATCCAATTTTCTTTGCAGACACCTGACATGAAGCTGCAGGAAGCCAAAATCTCCCAAAAGCTGACCGACAAATTGAAAGACACAAAATTCGCATCGATGGCACCGTCAGTGATATCTAAATGCTTTGAAAAAGGTAAGTGAACAAGCGTGTCGAAAGCCACGCATTAACGCAATCAAGATCATTTTTGGGCCTTTTCAGTCAATCTTCTTTTTCGCATTGGCCGTTTTGTCAAAGCTGGTAAACACAATTTTTCCTTTATTTACCTGATTCACGTATACCTAATGACATATTTTTCAAACAAAGGCATTGGTTATTTCTAAAATTTAAATTTGCAAAATTTGAAGTGTTTCAGCTACAGCAATCTATTGAACATATCTATACACTGAAACTACACCACCCAAACCGGAGCTCATATATTTGTATAAAAAACATTGCGCATCTGGAAAGTAACTCCTGAGTTCTTTCAATCGCTTACCTACATATTGAACATTCATGAAGTGTCGTCTCGAAATCAGTTGAAAAAAACCTTAATGAAAACTGTTGGCATAACTTACAATTCTTTCGTTGGTAGATTTTGACTTTAACCCTTCAAAGAAATGACGAGGAGATTCGTGTCTGTTTGATTAGTGTGCGGTGCGTGGTGCGCGTCGCTGTGAGCTACAACGAACTGTTGTCACCAGTCGAAAACGCCTTCAGTTTTGTATGATACATGACCGCCCACACCGGAGTTAAAATATTTGTATCATAAATCAATGTGACTTCTTGATGGTAACTCGCACGATCTTCCCATCGCTTATCGAATATTCATGAAGTAATGTCTCGCGTTCAGTCGGGAAACTTGTAAACGATTTGCCATTATCGCATTCAACCTTATATTCCCCCGCCCTATATGGTTCTCCTGACCACTTTCAGAATCTTTTATGCAAAAGCTCTTGTTTAGACAAATGACTTTGTACGAATGCCACACAACTTCCTCAGGAAATGATCATGCAAACATTAGTATGAGGTATTCCGTATTCTTCCTGTTAATGTCAGTCTATATCTAAGACCAAAGTGCGAAACCACGTATCTCAGTTTGCGGCGTTGCAGACTTCCTTTCACTATTTATTTTTTTTCTTTTAAAAACTGGTACACTGAAAATCTTAAAAATCGCCATGATTTTTCTTCTCTGTTAGCGAAATACTATACATAAAATTCAAGCAATATAGTTGTCTTGTTTCTTTTCAAAAGTAAAATTAGAGCCAACATTTTATTTTATTGTTTCAAAGAAGGAGAACAGTAAATCAGCATCATTCCTTTGTAGTTTTTACAGAATTTCTTCCAAACAGAGAAGGAAAATCACGCAGGTATTTAAAAATTGACGTCGAGCAATTCTTCACTTGAAAAATTAAGTAGATATAACAAGAAGTCTGCAACTTCGCAGATCGATTGGGATGCGAGTTTCACCGTCGATATAAGTACATAGAAAAATATCGTCTTGTATATTTTAATAGTCATTATTTTACACGCGCACATACACCTGAAATTTTCTGATACATACTTTTGGCCTTGATTCGTCTTTTTCCCCATTTTCAGCTAAAAACGCAAAGGACCCGAAGGAATGTAAATCTGGAGCCGGTGAATTTTCGAAGTGCGTGAATAGAGAATTGTTCATGGTAAGATCCTTCTGCTCAACCAAAAATACCTTCGAACTCTATTGTAAATTTTTGCCGGGAATATCAATCAATTCTAACGCATGAATATTTTGATGTTCGAAACACTCAAAAATATTTCAGAGGATGGAATGAATAATAATATTAAATAAAATAAACAAAAGACAACTTGAATAAGTTGCCATGATTGCACGTCAAATGAACGTGTGCAATTACGCTATATCAACAACAGGGCCGGATTTAGAGGGTGGCCACATGGGCCGCGGCCCATGGCGGCAAATTTTGCAATTCTTTTAAATGTAGGTATAGAAAAAAATTACAAACGAGAAAAGGCGACAAAATCTCTCATTTCCTGATAGTATTTAATTTATAATTTTGTCGTCTTTCTGTGATGCAAGAGACAGCACCTTTACTTAGTCGAGTTAAGAGAGAAACCAAACACGCATTTTGGTCTGGAACGGCGCGGCACGGCAAAGAGAGCAATGATGACGATGACCTGAGATGAATAGGAGAAGCCCTCGGCGCGGCGCGGCGCGGTGGTCGGCATGTAACATATATTAGCGCCTACACGACTGCATGAATACTTCACGCATTGCGTCAAATACAGTGCGGTCAGCAGCGGTCGGCGTGAAACGCATAGCGCCTACAAGACTGCATGAATACTTCACGCATTGCGCCAAAAGGCATTGCGCCGGACACAGTACCGCCAGCGCGACGCGGCGCGGCGGTGGAAGTTAAACTTATTAACTATATTTATGTTTGTTCTCCCATAATTTTTTCGTTCATTTCTTATGAATGGAAGGCCTTGTCCACACAGAGATAGGTTTACGGAACTTGACTTTCGCGCCAAGTTCCATGAACTTTCACCAGTAGTGTTACCAGGGCTTTCGCAAAAAATGTGTCCAACACGAGTAAACGCAACTTATGTACCTCTCCCCTCTCCCTCCGGCACGTTCATTTGATGGTTGTTGGACGTATTTATATCAGAAGGAACTAAATACATCTTGGCATGAGTCGCACGCTCTATAAGAATATGCACATGAAAGGGATTTATTTTTTTTGTTTTAATTTTTTTTTTTTTTTTTACATGATTGTTTAAAGTTAGGCACTGAACTTACTCAACGACTAACGTGCTATCACTTTCTTTTACAGAACTGTCCGACGGAGAGCTGGACCAACAGTGAGTAACATCATTTCATAACCTTCACGTGTAAAAATTTGAAGCAGGCCAAACATGTTTTTTGATGACTATCAGGGGTGAAACTCCCAAACCACGTATCTTGTTTGCGGTGTTTTAAAATCTCCTCTTTTATTTGACATTTATGAAGGAGAACAAATCAACATCATCTCTTAAATTTTTCACGGAACGTTCTTCACACGTAGAAGACAAATCCTGGAGGTTATAAAGAATTGTCGCTGAGCAGTTTTCAATTTACTTTCATAATAAAAAATGAAAGAAAGTTTGCAACGTTGCAGACCGAGATATCGACGGTGAAACTACCAAACCACGTATCTCGGTTTGCGACGTCGCAGACTTCCTGTCATACTTTATTTTTTAAATGAAAAACTACTTAACGTCCAGTCTTGAAAATTTCTGTGATTTTTCCTCTTCGTGCGGAGAAAATTCTGTGAAAATTTCAAGGAATGGTATTGATTTGGTCTATTTCAAAAAAATAAAATGCGAGCGTAGATTTTTAAACACCGCAAACGAGATACGTGGTTTGGTAGTTTCACCGTCGATATACGGTTTGGGAGTTTCATCGTCAATGTGTTAAAGAACTCTCAGATTTTTTATCCATCTACGTATTTGGAAACTCTTCGCCGAAAAATTTTCATCACGTCGCGCGCCCGTATGGACGCGACAAAATTTGGAGCGCCTTCATTTCCGTAGATACAACATATGGATATATCCCTCAAGTAGGTATAGTTGTATCAAAAGTTACCAACTAAAACCATCACCTTGCCCTTGCGTTGCGCATCGTTGCGGTTGCCTGGACACGAGCTGCGTAGTATCACGAGTATACTGATGCTAATCAATGACTAAAGTGCAAAATTAAGGACCTCCATTTCAACATTTAAAAATCTTTGATAATGTTTAAAAAAAAAAAAAAAAAAAAAAAAAAAAAAAAAAAAAAAAAATGAATAAATAAATGAATAAAAAAATAAAAAAACGCTCTCTTGGATATCTTTTGTGAATATTTTTAAAGTGAGTGCAGAATATTAAGAAAAACAGTTAGTTGATTTTTTTTTAAAAAAAAAATAATAATAATGAAAAATGAATAATTAAATTATAAAACGATACCTAAATAAAACGTCAGCAGAGCTTTTGAAACATCACACTTAATCGGTATAGGAATTTTTTGACTTTAGCCGCTGATATACCTACTTTCCTCCTTATAACCGATCAAAAATCATGAAACTGAATGGAATAAAATACTAGAATGCTGAATTCACCCTTACTTCTTATATAATTTTGTGTTTTCTAGGTGAAGAATGTCAAAAAATGAAGGAGAAGCTGACAAAATGCCCAAATATGCCGGTGCCGATGAGCCCACCGCCTAAACCTTGAAAAAGAGGAATGGAAATTTGAGGAGGACGTTGTGATGAATTAGGAGCTACTTTTTACAGTCATAGTTAATTTTCAAAGGAACTCATCGTTGAAAAGGTACTGTAAGAGAGGACCTAGGAAGACAAGTAATCTTACTTTGAACCTCTTCAGAGTGACACACAAGAAATGCATCTGCCTAATTCTTTTCTGTAAGGGCTCATTTTTTCGATGAATCTCAAAGTTTCAATGGTTTGTATCTCTTAAAGAATAAATGCTGTTAAAAGAATGTTTCCGTGTTTATTAGTTAACTATTCCCAACATTTACTTAAATTGTGTCAAAGTATTTCAAAAAATTTTGTACCTGATACATTCCACACCCAGGTACCCAGGGGTTATTTTCAATAGATGTTTTAGCAATTCTGTTTTTAGAACTCTGCATTATTCATAAAAAATGACTTTTAAGAGAAATATTTGCAACTGATTTGCTTGAAGAAAATAAAAAGGCCCATTTAAATAGAAAACATGGGTGGGTAATCTAAAAATATAATTTTCATAATTGGATTAAACAATTTTAGCTTTACATTTCATTTATTCATTTTCTTATTCATCTTTTTTCTAATAAATACATCAAGAACAATCTATGAAAGTGTTTCTGTTGTCTTTGAAAAACTTGATACCACAATAAGTTATCGAGGGAAGGTCAGAAAAAAAAGAAAAAAATATACAGGTGAAACCTAACACATCTGTTTTCTCACTATACCTAGAGTCAATGAGGATGCCTCCATATCAAGGGTCATTCTCATTTGATAATTTAAATACAAATCAGGCTCTATCATCAGCTGATGCATGGGTAATGTTTTTAGTAATATAAAGAGAATAAAAATAGATATAGAAGATAAATGGTGAAGAAAACAAAAAATGGAAACTTAGGTAACAATAGGAAATTATATTAATACAGTAGCATTGACTTTGGGCTTAAGCAATTATTTTTCAGTGTTTACTTGCAGTTTTTGAATTAACATCCCCTACGAAGTTGATTTTACTGCATGCAGTGCATAACAAAATCCCTTGTAAGGAACGATTGACCATGAGTTGGTAAGAACGTTGTAGAAAGTTCCGACAGTCTGGACAGTTCTGCAGTGATTCTTTTCCAGCATTTGTTGCAGCTGGTGTGGAGGAATAAACTTGTCATAACTGTGTGTTCCTTTTGGTACTATATTCAAAACATTTTCCGCAATAATTATTCCACATAGCCAAGAGAGATACGTCTTATTCAGGGTTGTGACAAAAATTGATCCACCAGGCTGAAAAACAAAAAACAAAGGAATGTACATAAGAACAAAGGAAAGTTGAGTGAATGTAAAAGATTCACAGAGCTGTATCATGTCATGATAATTTAGCTCCTTGCAGTTTTGGAAATTTTTCAAAGTGACTTCATGTGAGAATTTACTCATAAATATTCTATTGAGGTATCAAGTAGAATCTTTTCTTATCTTTATCAAGTTACATTATGAATTGTAAATTGGTGCCTTTTCCTTTCATGCTCACTCTGAAAAAATTGAAATTTTATGTAAAAACTATAAAATTGTAAGTTTTTTAGTGTTCAATTTTTGCAGAATGACCAGAAAAGAAAAATATAGGGGGCAAAAATCAGAAAACCAACCAAGATATTTGTACAAACAGAAAAATATCAACATTCCATATCATAGTTGATTCTGTTGTGTTTGAGAAAGACCTACCCTGATACTTGTTCATACCACTTGTCCTGTCTCACTCCATCCTGCTTGTTTTATGGGTACTTGTCTTTTTTAACCAAATTGTTCCGATCATCTTTCGAATATGAATGAGATTCAAGAGAATATAAGCAATAATCTAATTAAGAAATACGAATATCACCATTCAGATTTTTTTTTTTCAAAATATCTGAGTTGTTTTCAAACAATCTTTTTCCTTGCAAGCTTCAACTCTTTTAAACTTCAGAGGGTTAAATTTTTTTTTTTTTTTAAAAAAATAGGAGAGGAAGAAAAGAAAGCTATACGTACTAACCTTTAAAGCTGCAACACAAGATTTGATGAATAAATCGGGATTCACAACATGCTCTACAACTTCAGACGCAACGACAGCATCATAGACTTCTGCATGATCTTTAATGTGATCTTCGATTGTGCATGAGATGTACCTGAATAACAAAAATTTTAAGATGTGTATGCACAGATGAATTTACAAAAAGTGCTAAAAGAAAATAGACAGCTGACAAGATGTTTTACAAAGCCGGTTTTAGGAAATTATTTCCTGTGGGTTTGCAATTACGATGAACAGGCAAGGTTCATTTTCCACCGCGATTTTATCATGTTCGATCATTTTTCTAAGACTTATGATAAGTACAGTTAATTGGCAGTTTGTTCAAAATTTACAATCATTACCTATAACCTTTTTAAAGTACACTGCAGTCTTAACTGCAGCAAGTTTACTAAATTGACCTGAAGTTATGGATGATTTAGAATAATTAAAACATACTCAGAAAGCAAAGTGTTGTGACTCAGGATGAACATCTAATGGTAAATTGAAATAATTTATATTAGATACTCATGGATACTCATAATTTGGATAATTTCACTTCACATTTTGGATAATTTTTTTGACACATTGTTGGTTAGACAGTGAGTGATGAAACTTCTTCAGAAATACTTTCCATCTATCACAAGCTTTTTTTTATCTGCTATTCTGTCATAAAAATCAAAATTCAAGATCTCTGATGCTGTTCGGCTCTCTGTGATATTGGGATATGCGCTAAACTCTTTAATATTTATGAACAGAATTTGTTACAAATTAAGAGAAGTAAATAGAATATCTTATACCGTTTGGTGAATTACATAAAAGGAATATTCTTACTTTTAAGGGCTCATGGCGCACTTTCTCACTGACCACCAAAAACAGCTGCCTTAGCATATGCAACACAATGCAGAAACATATTAGTTACCTGATGTTTTTCGTTAGAGAATTTTGAGCAGCATGACTTGTGGCTATGTTAATGAGCTCAGCACTGGGTTCAAGTCCTGTGACATCGGCTCCAATTATTGACAAAGGCTGTAAATTTTAATTTATAATTAGAGATATTCAAGAAGAATGTAGGAGAGTTATAATTCTAGATGACAACACTACTGAATTTCTATGTACCTACTTTATGCTTTTTTAACAGTAGGGAGAAAGTGTAATCTTTATTGTAAATTTGAATTTTTCTCCAAAAATCCAATAAAATGTATGAAAATGACCACAAAAACACATGTTAACAGATAAAAATAATAAAATGTTAAGAGAGGTGGGGACAGCGATATTAAAAAAATGAAACCGAGTCACCATGATTATACTTCCAACATCTTGTACGAAATGTTACAAGAAATTTCATCATACCTACATAACATCAATTTCAGTGTAGCAGGTAAACTAGTAAAAATGAAGCATCTGTCATGTGTCATTTACTGATAAATGTAATTCACTAGATTGGATTGGTTTAGTTACATCTCAAAAACTCTATACAACTGAAGAAGATTGCCTATAGAGGGAATTCTCAGTTTCCAAATCATGGAGGCGGGCAATTTCCTTCCAGTCAATCCAAAATGATGTCTCTAGCTCAGTCACTGCAAAGAAGAATACCTTGAAAACTGTGAATGTAACCTGCATGACTTACCTCTGATAATAATCCTCCACCACACCCGACATCAAGAATTTTCAGTCCTTTGAGAGATTCCCTGGTTTTGGCAGCATCAGCTGAAATTGCACCAGAATTTGCCAGACCATTCTTAATGAAGGGTACACTGCAAAAAAAGAAAATAAGTTGAAAATAAAACTGTCACTAAGCACTACTATCCACTCACAGAAAACTGTTGTCTACACGAGTCAAATCAAGCGCCAGACTAAGTAATTTCTGTATATTTGAGGATGGAAGAATTTCCCTGTATACTGACTGTTTTTTGTTTTTTTTTTTTGGACAAAATTAAAGGTATTTTGTACTTGGGCAGATTTAGCAAATTGGCAACATTGCTTTTCCTCCATTTAAACCTACGGAAATGTATCGATTTTCGGATGAGGCCGTTGCTCTGAAGAATCGATTATTCAACCCAGGTTTAAATGTAGGAAAGCCAGTGGTGCCAAGTCACTGGATCCACCTATGATTTTGTAGAAAAAGAGGAAAAAAGTGTAGGTGCAATTAAGCTGTGGTTATTCCCGTCCGGCAACGGCCAAAAATAACATTGCCACAACGTTGCTGCAACGTTGCCGCAACATTATTTTTGGCAGTTACATTGTGACAACATTTCCGCATCTACTTCAGGCAACCACTTGCCGGGCGGGTTTGCTGACGTAAAGGTTGATTTCGATACCTAATTTTGTCTACGTTGATCATGGTTTTTAAGTAAGCAGGAATCTTAAATTTACTGTTTATAATGTAAACTATGAACATATTTTTCTCGCATAGAAGTTAGTTTTGAAATTTTGTTGAGAAAATACAGAGTAGTCCAAAAGTCTTTCACGACCAACATTTGACACTACCCCTGAGATTTTTACACAAATTGGGATAAAGACTTGGAATCTCATGAGTGCTCCTGGGTCAAAGGAAACAACTTTTGTTACCCTCACAATATGAGAAATGATCCTTCTGAAAAGGGACAAGAACTCAAAGGATTAAATAAGGATGGCGCAAGAATTTTGGATCACCCTGTGTGTGCTGGCAGGCTTAATTTCTTCTTCTGTCTAGTCGACGACTAAACGTCTGGATATGACTCGATGAAACTTCTGTGCTTGATATTTGTAGCAAATAGTTGGAAATCACAATGCACTAAGTAATAAACACTTTCTGTGGGAACAAAGACTAAGAGAAAATGATTTCTAATAAACTTTCTCTTTTACAATTTTATCAGAAAGTCATTAGTCAAGTAAGTAGGAGTTACTAGACGAAACTGATAAGAAAAACATACCGCAGGGCATTCATGGCATGAAGGCCCTTCATTTTCCCAGTAGGATCCCACCACTCATCTTTTAATTTATTGTGATGATCTACCTCCTTCTTGTCAACTGTAGAGCTTGAATCTGACAGCATTCTTGATAACTTTATACTTGCGCTAAAAATAAAAATGAAACAAAATAAATTAAAAGGCATGTTTTGAGAGGTGTGCTAACATCCTGTCATGAACATAAAAAGTTACAACAGGAGACATCAGTTCAAAATTCATCTGGAAAACTGGAATGATAAGCCGAACACAATTTGAAATGAATACCTCTCCGACACATGCGCTGTCCACTGTTATCACATAATTTAGAGATGAAAACTTACTTACCAACTGATAAAAATTCTCACCTCGTTTGGTAGTAGTTGATAAAATTATGTAAATAAGAGGGAATTAATATGATTAAGGATATCATTTTCTCAAAAATGGTGACGATTTATAAGAATTTTTATTGGCAAGATAAAATTTACTACATTGTGGTTTAAGTTATCTGGCGAGCAATAAATTGGACTATATGCATCTTGAATCTAGGAGCTGATATTTGAAAGGCATACAATATCTCATCATGGTATTACATCAGGGATAAGTTGAAAAAGAATGTGTTTGACAATTTAATCTTTTAAAATGGAGAATTTGAACGGTAACTTGCCTAAGATTCCTTGTCTTGCAAAGGCATTTACGACTTGTTGTACTAAATTGAAAACCAACTCTAGTCAAAGCTATCGAACACAACACCATCATTCACTGATAAAATAAAAATTAGTTAGAAATTGTATATTATTTAATCAGTAATTATTCAATCGTTCATCGTTTAACATGTTATCTCTGTTATCACCGAAACTTATTATTGTTTACATTTTTGTTGTTGATAACAAGTCCAAGGTTGCCATATCATATTTCTTTTTCGAATTTCAAGGCGGAAAATTTAAACGAGCCAATCAGATAGCTCTAATCTGCTTTGTTTAGAAACATTCGATACATCGAGTTATGCGAGTTCAGCAATCTCGCTAGATGGTCAAGTGAGAAAAATGAATGAGGTAATTGAAATTGAAGTGAATTAATGAAATTCTTGGAATTCAGAGTGATGTGGTGATGTTTGTGTGATCTCTCCGGTATTCCCCTCGTGCTCGGACGTTTGATGAATACAGATTTTCTTAAAAGTGATCAGTTCTTATTTTTACAGCCTTAGTTCCGCCGTTGTTTCTCATGAGTGTGTGCTTTGGAGTACCTTGAAAGTAATTTCAACCATTGTCTCTTCACCTTTATACTTAGTCAATCCATTAATTTTAAAACCTGTTTTATCATTCCTTTATTCTACTTAATTGCTGATACCACCCATCGCAAATATGATGCAGCAGGTGTTCAAAACCTTGCTACCGGACGATCGACCGATCTCCGCAATCTGTATCGTTGAAGACATCAGTAAATGCCCCCCAGGGTTCACAGCTGTAAGTGCATCAATCTCTGTTTTTACTCTTTTTCTTTAACTCTAATATTTTCAATATTTTTTCTTGTAATTTTTTCTCAGGTATATCCTTGAAACCAAATTTTCTTGTTATCGGTGGCTCATGGGAATAATTTGAATTAAGTTGGACTCGAACAAGTCCAGGGTGTTGGTTCTAGAAATCTTTGAAATTGAGGATTATTTCGGAAGCAATGCAGCTAAGATTGTGCAATTTTTTACAGCATTTGCGGTAGATGAAATTCATTTTCAGTCCACTGACTTCCATATGATAGTGAGGAAAAATGCATAGCAGAACTGTCAGACAAGTTACCTACTTACAACTAGAGAACTATATTGCACAATCTCAGCAGCATTTGATGTCTCATATTGATGGTGTAAGTCGGCAATCACATAACTCGGTTTGCGACGTTGCAGACTTCCTTTCATACTTTATTCTTTAAACGGAAAACTACTCAACAGCAATTCTTAAAAACTGCCGTGACTTTTTTTCTCTGTGTGAATAAAATTCTGCGTAAACTTCAAAGAATGATGCCAATTTGTTCTCCTTTAAAAAAATAACACAGAGGCGGAGATTTTCAGACACAGCAAACGAGTTATGTGATTGTCGACTTACACCGTCAATATGCTTTTTTACCGAAAAACGTCTCAATTTGAATCTTTTGCAGCTTGCAAACGTCTTGAAGATTCTTGTTTTGACAAATCGACACAGTGCTACATCTTGAGGGCTTTTTTTTTATCCGAACTACAGTGGACCACAACGGAACGCATCACTTTTTTATCGCGTTCCACTGGCGTGATCCAGTGCGTTCCATGTGTTCCAGTGGAACGCTTGGACCACTCTTCCGAGGTAGGTTGAGGTTGGTTCAGGCTGGTTGAACCAGCCCGAACCACTATCATCGCGATCCATGCGTTCCACGGATAAAAAAAAAGCCCTCAAATCAGTCAATGCATTCCACTGAAAATTGCCTCAGTCATCAGATAGCAACAGAAAGAAATTGGCTCTCTGTAGCTATTAATAACACACACAAGTGAGTAGACATGCCACTTTTCCATGCAGATCTGACCAACATTAATCACCTAAAAGTTATAGCCAAATTTGTACTGTGTCAAGAAATAGTGACTCTAAACATGACAGAACTAATTATTTTTTGAGTCAGTAAAATTATTTGATTTATAATACATTGTGTTAATTTTCAGATCTCAAGAACATTTGATCAGGATTCAGATGCGGATCTTTGGAAAGAGAATACATTCTTTGGCAAAAAATGTACACGGTACATGTGTATCTCCAAAACAGAAGGAATTCCAGAGTATATTGTAGAAAGTATTAGCGTCATCAATGACAAACAGCTGCCGCAAGATGGATATTGTTTGATATCGCAGACTATTGACAGTGGTAAGAATTTTATTTTTGAATTGAAAAAAAAGGGAAAAAAACCGCTTGCAAGTAAAGTGCTTCTAAAAAATGTATTAGTACATATATCTTTTGTCCGACAAGCCCTCCTGGATGGATCAGGGAATTTCAGTTGAAAGGATAAAACCCTCTCTTTTGCCAAATGCTAAACAGGAATACTTATATGCTTTAATCTTAAAACTTCAGCTTCACAAAAAGCTTAATTTTAGATGAACCAGATTAGGATGAAATATTGGATGCTGTACTGGTAAAATGCCATGTCATTAAGGTTTATATTGATACGAGCTAAATAATAAAATCTGAAACCAGTAAGTAATTATAGAAAAATTAAGAGAACATAAAAATTTGTTTCACTATTTTCTCAACAACTTATAGCAACCTTAATTGAACTATTATCTAACTATCCTTGGTATGGATTGGACGCAATGATTACATATATGGCTGCCATCTTACTGAAAAAATTCTAGGAAGCTAGAGAAAAATATCCTGTGAGCAGGAGCATCAAACTCCCTTACTTCATGCTGAGGATTCTGCCTCAATTTTGCCATATTGGTGACAATCTTACTTCAATTTTAGATCTCCTTTTGTATCCTCATAGACGTCAAAGACAATTCAAGTCTCAAGACTGAAGAGGTAAAAATGTTCATGCAAACAATAGAATAGTTTATAGTTCTCAGTTACGATTTTTTTCCAACATTTTGCTAAACAGAGTATGTACATTTTATGAAGTTATTTTTTTAAAACATATCTCATCAAAACTGTTACATTCTGTCCTGTTTCAGAACAAAAAGCATGGCGCAAGAAACAAATGGCCTACAAACTCTCTCGAAGAAATGTTGCTTCCTCTGCGGTCTCAAATATAATTCTTCTTAGTCGATCAAAACAGAAAATTCCGGAAGGATATAATTTTATCGGGTATGTTGTTGCCTTTTTGTATGAGTGACTTGGTAGATGATCTTATCCTTGAACCTAAGGTGACCTGGAATGAAAGCGAGTACTTGCCTATTGGTCTTACATTGAAGAGCGATTGACCAATCAAAAATATCCTATCCACATTGAAATTTTTTGAAATCGCTGCCCATAAATCCTCAGTTTTGGAATGTCCAATTAAACCCCAAAGAACTGACCAAAAAGGAGAAGCAGGTGGCAATCGCAGAACTACCCACTTTATTATTTGTTATTTTGAGCAATCAGAACCAGCAGATGGTCTGTTTTCGGCATTGGAAGTATCCATTAGTGTTACAGGACACCCTACTGCAACAGTTAAAGTAAAATTTTAAAATTTAATCCAAGACAGGATTATCCGACAGGATTTTATTTCCTAGTATCATTAATTTCAGCCATTTTTGCTCATAATCTCAAATTTTTGAAGTAACACTTGGTAGTGTTTCCTAGCTAGCTGTCTTTGAAAGCTTCTTTTATCAGTGGCGTGGCGTGACTATATCTGGTAGGCGTTCGGTAGGAGTGTTAACTTTAGGGGGGAGGGGGTCAGAAAGGTTCAATCCCCTTCCTTAAAGGGGGGTTCGGGGGGCCTCCCCCGGAAACTTTTTAAAAAATGAAGCCGCAAGAACACGATTTTAACCCTTTCTGGTGAAAATTTAGCCGGTAAATTGTCATTGAAATTTTGATCTTTTTACCGATCGTTTTCCTGTAATTTATTTTGTTAAATGATAACGTATTTTCGCAACACGCACCTGCAGAGAGAGGTGGGAGAGGGAGACTGTGAAACTGGGAGATGCGGCCCGCAGGCGCAGGGGGGGAAGCGGAGGGCGAATCGCGGCATAGAGGAAATTCGGCGGTTCGCAAACCCCTGCGGACCACTGCTACAGGAAACAGCTGGACTGATGAGCGGCTCTCCTCTCTCGTTCTTTTCCCCTTCCTTTTCTCTCTGCTGTGTTCCCTCCGCGAGCGCGGTCCGCACTCGTCTCCGAACCCAATGCTCACGCTCCGCTCTGCGCCGCGCGCCGGTGCCTCTCCTCTCTCGTGTACCCTTTGCCCCTTCATCATTGCACCCAGGTTCTCTCTCCTCACCGTACGCAGATCATCCAGGTTCGGTAGCCGGTGCGGACCAAGCGTCACAGGATTTTCTCTCTCCGCCGCTCCACATGCCGCTGTCGGAAGCCAAGCGCCCGATACTTATATGCGATCTACTATTCTGTATTCTGTATTGCTTCCCACATTCTTAGCCATAATTTATTAATTGTTTCAAAATATTTTAGGGTGTTCGGCGAACACTGCGAACCTATGGACGCCACGCCACTGTCTTTTATGCCTTCTAATTTTTATAGTTCGAACAGAGTGAAGTGAATACTTGACATCAGTGTTGACTTACTCCTGACCTAGCTGAATTTTTTTGTAGACTATATTTTTTTACAAGTTTTTTTTACTTAGGTTATTTGAAATCCTTTGATAACATAGGCATTTCAGTACGTAAGTGAGAATCAAAGACTGGCAGTTCCATCCTCACTTAAGGAATTCAAAAACCTGAAATCTGCACTTAAATTAAGCACTGTCTTGCTTCTCATGAGGCTGGATCTGCCGCTGTTTCATGATGTCCGTCTCTTATCGCCAAAGGAGCTAATCTTCCAATTAATATTTTTCAGAGATGTCAATGGTCTTGGCTTGTGCTGTAAATTTAACAAAGTAGAAATCAATGTGGAACCAAAACAAAAGTGTAACAGGTAAATTACTTCACCTAAAAAACCTTTCTTCCTTATTTTCCTTCTTTTTTTTCATATATGCTGAGCGCTTGTTTTCTTTTTTATTCATTTTTTATTTGCATACATCAGCCTCTGCAGAGCACTGTGATGTAGTATACGTCAGTTTGTAAGGGATTACAGAGATATCCAAGTTAATGGTAAGTCACCAAATCGCATCTCGATTGTGTTGTTTCAAATCATCCGCCGTCATTTTATTTTGTTGAAAAAAAAGTATGCAAACCAGTGAATGTTATTGTTCAAAATTTCTATAGGACATCTTGTTCAAGAAGAAAAAAATCAGTGAATATCCAAAAAATAATGTTTGTTGGTTTTCATTTGGAAAAATAAAATGTGGCATGAAATCTGCTGTGCCACTGACCGAGACTTGTAATGAGCCCGTTGCAAACTATTGCTAGAATAAGAGTTGTTGCTCATAGGCACTGTCTCAAAAATCAAGATGAGTGCATCGGCAAAGTCTGAAATGCACTCGTTACTTCACAATTTGCATAAGAAATTCGCGTTTTTTCAAGCCTCCCCCTTCAAAAACGATAGCACGCCAGCACGGTACAGGTGAACATTCACACTTTTCTCGCATTGATAGATATCCGCCTTGATTGACTTCAACTCTCCTCAACTTGCGTGTGGAAGCGTCGGCCATATTGAGCAGGGATTGAGTGGAACGACTCCTCTGACGAAATGTTCACCTGTGCTGTAGTATCCTTTTTGAAGCAGGAAGCTTAAAAAAACGCAAATTTCTCACACAGATTGTGAAGTAAGGAGTGCATATCAGAGTTTGCCGATGCTCTCATCATGATTTTTGAGACATAATCTATAAGGAACAACTCTTATTTTTGCTTTAGTAAAAGTTTGCAACAGGCCCATTTGTTATCTTAAATATCAAAGTGCTTTAAGATATGTATAATCTCAGGAACATCATGGCATTCATCGTGCAGTGTAAGCCCAAGTAATTTTTCCTTCATATTCAGTATTCAGTCTTGCATTTTGCTGTGGGAGATTTCTGTTTAATTTGAGCATTAGATGAAAAATGGAACCTTGTAATTCTGATTGAAACGGAATCATTCTCGATATTAAACTGGAGATTTAAAACTATTTGAATCATCTTGATATTATCAAAAATTTAAATTAGGTGCAAGCAGTCTATTTATGTCTACCACATTTTTACACTCAACTTATCAATTCTGATCAATGATGCATCGTCTTATAAACATATCTTCCTTTTCATTTTAGCTCGACACCCATTATAAATGGAATTGGTTCCGCTGGATCTCCAACCCCACCTCCACGTCCTCCCCGAGCTTCACCTGCTGTTAATGGCAATAGTTTTCTTGCATCAAATTCTCAGAATGGTGATGACTATGAGCGTCTTGTCGAACTCAGACCTTCTCGGCCTGCGCCAAATCCTCCACCATCCATGTATGGAACCATAGCCTCTTTTCAAGGTAATGTAGATCAACATGATTTGCCAGATGTTGAGATTTTTCATGCGGATAGAGTTCATGGTGTTTGAGACTAATAATTCTGTTCCTGGGTCAGTTTTCTTCAAGTCATGTCAATAATGTTTCAATTATTAGCTCAAATTTTTTGATGTTGCAAATTGTAACCACAATCCTCATTTGCTGTAATCATGAGATACTTTTTTTTACGAATGTATTTACATCTTTTTTTTCTTATTTTTTTTTATTGTTTATATTTTTAATTGGGGGGTAGCATAACTGCCGAGGCAGGACAATCATGTTTCTTTTTCTACCTTTACTTTTGTAGTGTCTCAACTATAAACTTATTTCGTTTTCTTATTTTTTTGCAGGTTTGGAAGGCGTACCTTTTATACTGAACCCAAAAATAGATGACAGTTTTATCTTGGACAGTATGGTACGTAAGATAATTCTTCAAAAATGAATCTTGGATGTTTCATGGGATGAAAAATGGTGCTATCACCAGTGGCCTTTGATTGAATGTTTTATTTTTTTGTTGAACTTTCTTTTAAAAGAGTGAGAATCATTCACTGAAATCCGTGTGATTAACAATACACTGAAGAATATTGAGAACCATACTGCGCTTCTGTTCTTTTGCGGTTGTAAGTTTGGAAAATGGATAGGGCGCATGAAATTTTTTTAAGCGCCTTGCCTTCTTAATTTTTAGGAGCCAAAGCCGCTTTGTAGCTGTACTTGGCGCTCAGCGCTCAGGGAAGGCAGAACACTGGTTGAGGGTACTGAGTTCCTATGGTTTTATCAATTTCCCTGAAAGATATCTAATGGTGGAAAAAGATTTGGTCGTTACCTACTTTTTGATTCTATAATTTATGTTAGTCATGGTGAATAATAACATTGTAACAACTCCTGATTGTATTTTCTCTGTTTTTTTTTTTCTTTCCAGAAAGGGTTACCTGTGATCAAAGCCAAAACAAAATATGAAATTGATAAAGAAGTAAGTCTTTCTACAAATTATTTTCTCATGAGTATCTACCAATTTTTCAAAATATGAGCACAACATTCTCCTAACTGATCAAAAATCAGGATTTAGGTTTTTTTTTTTAATTTGATCAGAGATATGTTGTCTATGAGACCATAATTCTGACTCTGATTGGTCGAGTGTATGCATTTTATTTGCAAACAATTTAAGAGACACAATTTCAACCATAAAACTAGCAGCTATAGTCTACACCACGAAAAGTGATGGCTGAACCAGGTTTGTTACCAGGTTGTGGAATAAAATGGAAGTATTTCACATGGGTTAAATGGGGAAAAGTGCCAATTTTCAGCACTGTCACGGGCTTCAATGCCACTGTAAGATGGAGTCAGGTGAGTGGCTTAGTCTATTGTATGAGGGTTGATTGGCTTCAGCAAGCCTGATGTAGAATATAATATTAGACTCCGTGAAGTTAATGCTCTGTGTCACACTTGAACCTAGGAAATGAAAACTGTTCAAGATTATACTGCTTTAATTGGAGTTTGGTTAAAAAAAGAGTATTTGTATAGGAGCAAAAAATAAGATTAAGGACAAGAGAGTTTCAAGAAGTAGCACACTTTAGAAGCAGCACTTAAGAAGCACTACTACAGAAGTAGCTCAGAAGTATACACACTTTAACTCACAAACCCGGCTTACAAGATTGATGGATACTACTTCCTGACTGTTAGACTTCCTGACTCGCGGTGTAGCCAAGAGAGTTGACTTATTGTCTGGCTGGGATGTTGAAACCGAACTGAACTTTCTCCTCACATGGCTTGTAGGCCTGGAGAAAAGATTTAATTCTTTCAGATCGTATCCTATCAGCCATCCAGTGCACAGATAAAGAAAAGCATAAAAATAAATGAGATGATGCGTCTGTTTGCATACAAGCAATGGCTTAAGGCCTAGAATGTTCTTTAAGTTCAAACTAAGAAAGAGACAGAAGAAATGAGAGGGAAAGAGATAGACAAAAAATCTGTCCTCAGGACAATTTTGAAGACAGGAGTTGTGTAACTTGCAACACCTGAGTTCCTTGATTATGCCAATGTACCTGTGTTTCAACCCCTAGGCAGTACCCCAAGTTAGTCACCGACTCTGCCCCTTAACTACCATTTTTCGTGGAATGGACGATAACTGCTTAGAAGGGCATAGATTGAACATGTCCTTAAGAACAAAAAGTGTTAAATTTGTCAAAAACTTAGAAATGCTCTCGTAAACTTTACACTCTCTGTTTTTACGAAATATTTTTAATTCTCTCTGTCTCTCAGTCATAAAATTTCTCAAGCTGAAATATTTTATTTTTCTCTGATGGTATGATAATAAGTTTTCCATCATTTTATCCGCATGACCTATGAATTTTTATCAATTTAATATTCTTTGCTTTCAGTATGATTACGATTTTCGACTTGAACGGCAAACATAGCAACTCTCCCTTTGGAACCAGATGGAAAATAATACTTGAAGTCATACGTCTGACCTTTTTTTGACCTCATTAGTGGCTTGAACTCTTTTTTACAATGAAAAATTTATCCTGTCCGAAGACTGTCAGCATTCAAATACCTGCTTGAACTTCCATGTATGTAAGGTCAGGTTTTTTTGTGACCAAATCTGTCAGATCCTCTTTCAAATTTCTGTTCGTTTTATTTATTTATTTTTTATGCCCCCTTTAAATAATCTACAGAATGCTTGCAAACATGCTTTTTTGCTAAGTACTCACTTGTTTCCAGCTACCCAGTAAAAAATGCATATCATTTTAAAATTGTATCTTGAACTCAGTGAGTAGCTGGTCTTTCTTATAACGGGGTGAACTCTTTAAAATCTGGCAGAATACTCATCTTTTGTGTGTGCAGTGAGTAAATCGTGATTTTATTTGTGTACTCCCACAATCATCTAGTGGTAGTACTATCAGCTCTGATGCTTAAGAAAAAATAAATTTAAAGTAAGGTTTTAACTCAAGTAAGAAATTCATCTCGATGTTGAGAGTTCACCATGTTTAATTTTTCTCTTTTGGGATTGAAGTTGATAATTTTCTTCAGTTTATCATGACCTACAAAGTATTTGAATGATCAGTAGAAAAATCAACGTTTAGAGAAAATTAATGAATAAACTTCCGAACAAATTTTTAATTATTTGCTAATATTTATTTAAGATTAGACCAGAGCCTTTTTGTAAGGTACCCAAGTTAAACAAAGAATTTTCAATTTAAGAGGGGTGCTTCATTCAATTTTAGGAATATATTTATATCATGATCATCTATATGAAATGAAATATGATTGGAGAATTTGAGCTTGCCCCAGAAGCCAAGTATGGTTCAAGTATTCAATGAATGAATTATGTGGGATTCATCAGGTACTGTTACGTTTCATCATCAAGTTTGCATTGATTTAATCACATTTTTCAAACCTGTTCAAGCAAAACCATTTGAAAATTTATGGAATATGTCCTCTAATTTTGTATAAAATATATGTCTTTTAAAATCCTCCTGGATTCTTAAAATCATGTCAATTTTCATATCAGATATTCCTCCATGAAACTTTGAATATCCGTCCAAGTTCGGCAAATAATTGATCCACTTAAATTTGATGTCAAACCACTCAGCATTTATGCTGCAATACAAGAAGATTCAATTTTCTCCATGAAGTATAAGTTTTCAGCAATTATCTTCCCCTCAAGATACTAGCTGTACAGCAATGCAACATATTAGAGGTTTTCGTCCCTAGATTACTTAGATTCATCATAAGAATGTCATCCTATTTATTTTCAACGCTTTTGTCAATACCATGGCTAGCACCGGGGGCAGTTGTATTCTCTTCCCTATTTTTGTCACTGTTAGTATTTTGTATCCTCCATTCTTCTTTTTATTTCTTTATCTCTTGATTCACTTTTTTCGTATAGTATTAATCCTTCATTGACTGTCTTTATGTTTGCTTATGAAAATAAATCACTGACAACGTTTAGTGCATTTTTGAACCTCCCGTTAGCTGATTAAACTCTGTAAGTGTATTTTCGACTGATTTTGTAAATATAATGTGATATTTTTTCCCATGAAAATTTGACAGAATTCTGGAGATTCAAGTGAAGACTGTAATTATGCTAACGTTGTAAGTGTAATCCTTGTTTTCCTCTTTTATTTAATAATTTTATTACCATCTCTCTTTTTTTATCTCTCCTCCTCCCTATTTTATCTCTAGGTTTATTTTATTTTTTTCAAAAACCACATCCCATCTTGACCACAGTGATCATATTTTTTTTGTGCCTTTTTTCTCTGAAATGTATTTATTAGAATTAGTAGTGAAAAGTCCTTTCTCAGTGAAACCCTCGTTGTCTTAGTAATTAAATGACTAACTGTCTAACTTTCCAACTGGGAGGATTATTACCATTGTGAACAAGTTATTTGTATAAAAGATTATGGAAATAATTTTTTTCTGCATCTTAGGAAATGTAGAAAAAAGCAGAAACAGCTAGAGTCCATGCCAAATAAGTATACCCAGTTTTAGACCACAACAGAAGATCCACCATCTTGATTCTTGCATTTAGGTACTTCTCATTCTGAAGTAATGTTAGGCGATCTGTTGTCCTTGTAAGTCTATATATTTATTTGGCATTGCCTCTATCAGACGGGAATGAATCTTTATCTAAAAATTCTGTACTAGACGTAATTTCTCTCTCATCTCATGACAGGGTTGGGTGTTGTAATTTTTTTCTAAAGTTTATGGACTCCAAAAGATATGTATCAAGTCATTAAAGGGTGCTGTAGAGGTTAATGTCATTAGTTATTCTTTGTGTATGTTATAAACGTAAAATGAAGATAGTGAACGTATGAACCTAATTTTTTTATCTCTTTAAGACCTTAAAAAGAGGTTTGTACTCATAGTGACTCTTTTAACTCAGGATATCTCAGCCACTAGGAAGTCTTTTTGTAAAAAATCCTGTGACCTAAAAAAGGAATTTAGAATGCACAGCCATTTGTCTGCCCTGTTTAAAACCAGTCGCAATTTTTTTTATCCAACTGTAAGCAATACATATTTTGACGCTGTCTTTTATTTTTACTAAAGTGTTTTCTTTTGTTAGTGGAATCTGAAGTTTGCTTGTTTAAACTTTAGTTCCGCCTTTTGTCATCCTTCTTATTGTCACTGACCCACAAGTAATTAAACAGTTTATGGTATCAATTTTTTTTTTTTTTTTTTTTTTTTTTTTTTTTTTTTTTTTTTTTTTTTTAACCACGTGAGTTATCACTGAGAGTAATTACTTAATAGTAGGTAATAGCAAGTAAATACTTAAAACACAGGTTTTTCTGAGACGAAAAATTGAGTTATTACCACTGCCGAAATAATATTTATCCCATACTACTATCCACTGTGTAGGAAAAAATTTGTTGGCTCTAAAACGTCCGAGTTTAGTGTGTATCTTTTACGTCTATGTAGTAATATTTTTTAAGTTGAAGAGAGTCTTGTCAAGATCGTTCGTGGCTTCCATTTACAGATATAAATGAACTACTTGTGATCGTCTCTGGTTTGCGCAGATCTAGAATTAAATCTTAATAATAAGGAAACATATTTGTATTGAATTATGTATGTGTACTCTACCACCTCGCATTGTGCCATATGTTCCGAAAACTTAATTAGCAAATTTATTATATCGAATGGTTTCTCTATAAGATGTGCAGTGACCTCATTTGCTATTCTGTACTATTTTTTTTTTTTTTTTTTTTTTTTTTTTTTATTTTTATTTTTTTCAAATAAACCAAATTCAACCCACTTTATGACTTTGTCTTACCCTTTCTCCTTTCAAATCTTTCTCGAGTGAAGGGGGTAAATTAAGAGAATGCGCAATTCATCCCAAATTAAAGAACTTAAACAAAACTCAGATAGGGTCGACTGAAGTTAAGTTCAATTTCCTAAAAAAAAGGAACTTGAACTTCTCAAGGCCTGAAAATATCCACAATGAAAAAAAATCAGCGCTGGGGCGTTTTTAGGAGAGGAACTTTTTTCACATTGGGTTGGAAAATAGGAGTTAAAGTATCTAGTAGCCTGAAGTAAAATCTTATCAGTCTTAGCTTTTCAGCAGAAGGAGCAAAGTGGTATGTTTGTCTGAAAAAAGTCCAAAAAACATGGCAGATTAGATTAGACTTTAAATGACTTTTTTCGCGTAACTGGGGCCAGAAAGGTCACTAAAAGAGGGTCTGGAAGGGAGGGGGATATTTTCAAAGGAATATTCCAATGTTAAGTTGGCTACTGAGGGGGATTGGGTCTGAACTTTCCTGACGAGGGGAAGAGGGATCAAGCCTAATTTCACGTCAGCCTACCTAAAAAAAAAAAAAAATACTCTAATTTAAATAATATTTTTCAGCCAATTTTCAGTTTTACTCGGGTATTTTCTGAAAAAATTGAGGGCGAGGAGTCAGGCTAGTCATACACACTTAAAGGGGGAGGGGTCATTAAGTGGACTCAAATGCCTCACTTACGTAATATCTGAACGGTCCCCAAGATAAAAAAAAAAAAAAAATAACTTTTTCTAGAAAAGACAATGTATAACGACGGCGTAAGTCCGTAATCACATATCTCGTTTGCGGTGTCCAAAAATCTCCACCTCTATTTTATTTTATCAAAGGAGAACAAATTGACATCATTCCTTGAAGTTTTTGCAGAATTGTCTTCGCACAGAGAAGAAAAATTACGGCAAGTTTTAAAGAATTGCCGTTGAGTAGTTTTCCGTTTAAAAAATAAAGTATGACAGGAAGTCTGCCACGTCGCAAACCGAGTTGTGTGATTGCCGACTTACACCTTCGATATGTAAATAAAGAGAAGAAAATTAGTCTGATTTTATTTAATTGTTTTATTTTTCTACCAATTTAAATAAAAATAATCCCTACAGAATGTGCACTTTGCAGAAACTCCATCGTCGGAAAATGCTGACTCCGCGAGTTTGAATGATCACGCCGATAACAGAGTGTGATCGGCGTAAAATGCGGATATTAGCGCCTACGAGACTGTAAGAATACTTCACGCATTGCGCCAATTAGTGCGGTCGGCGCGAGCGTTTGATAGCGCCTGCAAGACCGTCTGAATGCCTCACGCATTGCGCGTTTACTGCGGTGCGCGTTTCAGCCGTTGAATATCCGTAATTTCTCGGTGTGAACCTACCGCTTGGACTGTGTAAACAAGGGGGGGGGGGCAGGTAAAATATGAAACGTGTCAAACCGAGCCGGAGTCATTGCGATTTGAATCATGTTGTTCAGTAAATGTAGCGTAGTTTCGATAATAATTATTTATATCAATTAATCATATACAAATAATTAGGTATTAATATCAATTAATCATATACAAATAATTAGGTATTAATATCGCGTCTTTGACCAACTCGGATAGGTTTTGAAAATGTCCATACGCACTTAAATGTCCTTGGAAAAACTACGGAAAAATCCCAATGTCCAGATCCCGGTTGGGGAAACTGGCAAAGGAGTATGAATTTTTCGTCGTTTTTGGACCAGTTGCGTCCAAACCATTATTTATTACGGATATTTTTAATTTGCTCTCATCGAACTTTAATTAACCACGGGCAAGAATATATCCTTGGAAAAACTTCTAAAAATCGCGAGGTCTAGATTCTAAGCCTTAAAACGTATCCGAACTTAAGAGTAGTTATATTGATTACTCACACATATATCACACGAAAATTGAGGGAAATTATAGCTTTTCGCCTGTCTCAAATCGTCGCTCCTCTGACGTAAGGGCGTATCTCAAATTCTGCATGAGCCCCAGAAGACACAGATTCATATGGTAAACAGGGCTCATGTGGAAATTCAGATACGCCCTTACGTCAAAGGAGCGACGAAATTTGTGATGTTTACAAATGCAGGGATTCTGCTCGCATCGTAAAATGAGGATACGAAGCGCGCAAGCATTCGTGCTCCGGAGAAGGTATGTGATGTAGTATCACCCAAAATGGAAGGAAAAGCTCAATATTTTACCTGTCTAAAATTAGTGACTTTAAAGTTCTCATAAAGTTGCGATGTTTACGTAATTCCAAGGAAGTTTAATGAGATTATTCAGAAGAAGGTACAGTGTGTGATTCAGGGGCGGACTGGCCGGGGTGGCGAGGAGGCGATCGCCCCCTTCAAAGCGGCCAAAGAAGGGGCTTCTTCGAGTTGTCCCCCATAAAAGGCCCCAAGAGAAAGGGCGGCCTTTTATTTTCGATTCGAAAAGGCCCGAAGAAGTCTTTTTACGCCATTCTAAGATCCTTGAAAGAGTCCTTTATCCTAACTCAAAGGAGAACATCGATTCGAAAGGGCCCCGAGGGGGCCATTTATCACCGATTCAAAGAATCCTCGAAGAAGCTTTTTTATTCCACTTCTAAGGACTTTGATGGGGCCCCTGTTTTTTGTGATTCAAAGAAATTCAGAGGGGTCCTTTTTGCCGTTTTGAAGAGGCCGCGAAGTGGCCCTTTTATGGCGTTTCTAAGGGCCGTTTTGAACTTTGAAGGTTCCAAGGGGTCCTTTTTTATCACCCTCAAAAGAACCCGCATAGGGCCCTCAAAGAGAATTTTTAATAATTTATATTCATGATCAGGTTCAGAGACTTGAGCTTATACAAAGCCATTTGCAAGCGACGTCGGCTGCTTTGCAGTGTCACCTAAATCTAATCAGGGTGAAGTGCGGTAGCTTGTGAATACCTCCCTCTGTGGAATGCACTTTTTTCTGAGCTTATGAGTAAGTATTCTACGGATTATTTAAATTAATTTGAGACAACTATCCTCTTGAAGTTTGCAATGGGTTTTAGCCTGCCTTATTGTATCTTATGGATTGTTATTAACCGACAACGCCAATAAAGATAAGGGCGATTTGCACCGTTGAAAAAGACGGAGTGACTCATTGTCAGCACCCACAAGCGCGAGGAAGATCGGGCCTCAAGTCGCTCGACCGAGGGACCACTCCGACGGAGAATAGAGCGCTTGCATGAGTGAGGGATTCTGATTTAAGTTTTTTTTTTTCTGTGATAAAATTTCGCGAGAAATATGATGGTGCTATCAGCTGAACTCAAAACTCAAAAAAAGCTCTCAAAGTTGAAGCCGTAATGGAGGGGATATCACTCGCTACCGTGGGAGTCCACTTCTATGTTTTTCCAAGGATATATTCTTGCCCATGGTGAAAGTTCGATGAGAGCAAATTAAAAATATCCGTTTTAAATAATGGATTGGACGCAACTGGTCCAAAAACGACGAAAAATTCATACTCCTTGGCCAGTTTCCCCAACCGGAATCTGGACATAGGGATTTTTCCGTAGTTTTTCCGAGGAAATTTAAGTGCGTAGGGAAATTTTTCAAAACCTATCCGAGTAGGTCAAAGACGCGATATTAATACCTAATTATTTGTATATGATTAATTGAAATAAATAATTATTATCGAAACTTCACTATACATTTTCTGTACAACTAAGTTCAAATCGTAATGATACCAGCTCGGTGAGACATTTCGTATTTTTTCTGGTCCCTCTCCCCTTTTTGTTTACACTGCTCGAGCGGTAGGTCCACACTGAGAAATTACGAATATTTAACGACTGAAACGCGCACCGTCGTATCCGCGCAATGCGTGAAGAATTCATACGGTCTTGCAGGCGCTATTAAACGCTCGCGTCAACCCTCGAGTCCCTCGACCGCACTATTTGGTGCAATGCGTGAAGTATTCCTACAGTCTGATAGGCGCTAATATACATTTTACGGCAATCACAGTCTGTTTAGCGTGATCATCTAAACTCGCGGAGCCAGCATTTCCCGACTTGTTCCGACAATGGAGTTTCTGCACAGTGCACATTTTGTATGGATTATTTTCATTTAAATTGGTAGAAAAATAAAACAATTAAATCAAATCAGACTAATTTTCTTCTCTTTATTTACATGTCGACGGTGTAAGTCGGCAGCACATAACTCGGTTTGCGCCATGGCAGACTTCCTGTCGTATTTTATTTTTTAATCGGAAAACTACTCAACTTTAAAAGTGACGTGATTTTTCTTCTCTGTGCAAAAACTTCAAGGTATGATGTCAATTTCAGATTCCGTCGACACCAAGATTGTAGTAAAATGAAAACCAAATTTTTATGTTTATCAAAAACTATTAAAACCGCGTAAGTGTCGCCCAAAGGTAACTAATCCAAAATACCTGTACACTATTTTAGGTACTCCATTTATGAGGAAATTTTCAAAAAATAGTTCATTGCAATCGGGTGAGATGCAGCGGCGCTTTGAATTTTCAAATATTTACATTTTAAAAAATGGCAACGTCGCAACCCGGTGCTGTAAAGCAAAACTGCAACCTGCTTGAGGCCTCTTCATCACGTCAAGCTTCAAAGTTCGAAAATACCTTTAGGTAATGACCGCCTTTGCACACACCTCGTTCTGATTCAATTCTCGAACAATTTTGTCACGGGTTGCTCATGCAACCCCGCTGAAAAATCGCTGAATTTCACTTTTCACCATTTGCATCTCCGGGTCCCCCCTCCGCTCCATCGGGAAGCCCGCCGTTGCCTTGCGAGTTGCATGCGCGCTGCTGCACTGGTGTCGGGAATGCCCGACTCTCATTGATATAAGAGAATTTCCGTGTCCACTCGACAACCTGGTCCACGTGGTCTGCGCCACAAAGGCCGCACTGCATTCATCATGCAAGCGCCGCACAGCGCGGAGCGCGGAGGCGGGGGGAGGAATTTTGGGGGGGAGGTGCGGGGGGCGCCTGCTGACTCCATTTGACTCACCGATTCCTTTCGGCCGGCGTGGCAGCCGAGAGCCGACTCCATTCCTGTTTTCATTCAGTAACTGTTCCGCCTCGGTCACCGGAGCTTGTACGCCTCGCGCCGCTGGACTTCCAGCTCACCGTGGTTTGTTTATGTTCCTTTGTCTCCCCAACTCACCTTGTTCTCTAAAGTGTTTCCATCCAAAATTTTCATTTTCCTTCGAGTTGGGAGGTTTTGCTAGTGGACGGTAGACCCCGCGGGATTTCCGCGGCTGATCCCAGTTTCTCGCGAAAGTGTACCTCTGCGTTCCGCAAGAAGTGAGTGGCCGCTAACCTCATTTTTCGCAACGCTTCCTGGATGATCCTCGGCACGACTCTGGCTTCGGGATTGTGTAGTCGCTCCGACGGCGTCGGGTCGGGTGCATTTTTTCGCGTCTGCGCGTTCGGCGTCGGGAGTTTGTTTTGGTCCGGCGTGCAGTGTTTGTTTACACGATGTTATCGTGATGTGTGAGGTGTGAAAATGAACGAGGATATCGCTTTTCTGGACTGGGCCGAGAAGCTGGATTCTGGCACCAACCACTGGCTCCCAGCTTACGGCTTCCAGCAGCCCTCGCACATCCAGGAGGTGCTCTTGCAGGAGAGGAATTCCGATAATATAAACGATGGTGAGTCATCAACCTTAATGATAATGTTGTTTGCAGAGTTCAGAGCCAAAGCAGCTGAACTGCATTACTTACTTACAGCGTTGTGAAGTTTCACTCAGCCATGTACTCATTTACACCTAAACGGTTGCAACTGTTCCTGGAACATTTTTGGGGGAATTCTGGTCCTGATTGCAGAAAAATCCCTAAAATGTAATGTTTACATCATGCAACCATCTATGACTCATCACTGACATGTCGTCAGGTGAAACTTCACAATGTTGCTAACCGGGCATACAGCTAATCACGGGCATCTGGGAAATTCCCATCAGGGCTGTTGATATTTAGGGTGACTCTGGGCTGGATTATTTGCTTTCACATGGCAACAACAAAACTAAATTGAGCAAATCCAAACATTGATGGGGGTGGTAGCTTCGGTTACTTTTTCAACCCCAGATTGCCTCTGGTTCCCATGCTCTGTTCTTTCCCGTTTGGAATTGTGAGGAATTTCGTGCTTCTTGATAGCCCATCCCTGTTATCATTTACCTACGTTGTCATTCTTTCAGTACCATTGAGGTTGCCATTTCCTCTCGAACATTAAATAAACATTGATAATGTTTTGTACTCAAGTGATTCTAATCACTATTCTAACCTTTAAATGATGAATTTCATTGAAGTAGGTGCAATTCTATGATTAAAGCTGCAGGTGCTTTATGCCAACTCGTAGCCAAGTTTTCAGAGGGGTCTAACAATAAGCAGGCTGATTGTCAGAATGTCATTTCTGTCAATCGGATCTGAGACGCGTAAAACCGAGCAATGTATTTAGTTGGTTGCCTAGGTTGCTGATGCCCATTTCTCCTGATCATGGTTTCTTAGGCTGGATACGCAATCAACTGAGGGGAATTCCTTAAAGACCGACAAGTAACTGAGCTACCATAATCTAACTGTTGCACTCTACTTAAGTTTGGGGAAGCAGATTCCGCACTCTCGATTAATGTTTGTGACGAGCACAACAATTTATCAAATGGTAAAAAAACTGACTCTCATCCCCCTTCAGTACTTGCGGTTTCAATGAGAGTTAAAGCCTTCTACCTTCTATTCTTTAGGAAAAACTGAGCTGTCTCTCCTAGAGTTAGGGCATTGTGCCATGGAAAAATGATCAGTCCCAGCAAGATTTCTCTGATTTACAAGACAGTATGCCAAAAACATGTATGTTTTCTAAATTAAATTATGAAGCTTCTCTCACTTTTTCAGGAATTTCCTAAGTAATTAAAATGAAAAAGCTGTCTGAAAGCTCAGGAAGAGAAACTGTTATTCTTTTAGACGACTATCATTTCTCTGCAAGTGAAATATACAATTAAATAATTACTTAATGTATTTTTCAGAAAGTTGTCAATGTCGCGATACAAATCAGTCATAATATACTGCATCGGCACAATAGGCAACGTTGAAATTTTTTTAAATGTAAATATTGAAGAAAAAACAAGCAAAGCGCCCTCACCCAGTATCGTGTGCGCCAAGTACCACATGAATTTCATTATAAAGCCTGGATGCAACTATTCGGGCTCTATGGATGTCCGTGTTGCATACACAGGCACATGAAGGCGTTTTAACTGTCCAAACACTCAGGTAGCGGCGCGGCGGCCGGCAGTACTGTGAGGATTCAAAAAAACAGAGCGCCTTAAATTCCTCCTCTACACTACAAATACATTTCTAAATCACGAATAGTTGCACACAGGCGTGGAATGTAAGTGTTTCAGTACAGCCCATGGTTGCGCTGCGCTACGGATGAAGCGGCGAGTACCCGGAAATCAAAACGCCTTCACTTTCGTGTGTATGCAACACGGACATCCGTGGAGGCCGAATAGTTGCATTAAGGCGTTGTGTTAAAATAAGTTCAGCATTTGTCGCATGTGATACTAACTGAGAGCACTTTGCTTGTTCCTCTCACTCCTTAACTTAATGCCAACGTTGCTTTTAGTGCTGATGAGGCGACAATTACTGATTTTAATCGTGACGTTATCAATTTTCCGGAAAATGCTCTGATTAATAATTTTAATATAACAATGCTGGCCCTCATATACTCCCGAAGTGCATCCGCACATGATTTGTTAAGTTTCCTTGACTTTCCTCAACGAGTTATCCTTTATTGACCTGCTGCTACTGCTGTCAACCTTGCGCATGAAAGATACATGCAGTTAGGTGTTTTCGTACGATAACATTCAAAATTGGTTTTCACATAACACGGAGAAAACTGAAGTTCTATTTTCAAACAATTTTCCCCTCTCAGCATGAAAGTATTAACCGTGACTTAATTTCCTACTTTCATGTCATTTTCCACAAGTGTATTCTTTTTTATCGTGAGGTATATTCATATTACTAAAATCCAGTAATTTTGTTTTGTGTTTACAATTTTGTTGATGCGGTGATTTGTTTTTAAGATGTACCATCGCGCTAAGGATAAAACGTCGTTTAAACGTTCCAGTTTCTGAATTTCCTCCGAAAAAATGTTTATTTTTGAGGATATTCATGAATATTTTCTCTTGAAATTTTCAGATTATCTAGGTCTGATCGTGTATAGGCTTCTGTAAAAAAATATTCACAAGCTTCCTTGAAAATTCATCCTTTCTGAAGGAAATTTGGTAACGTCTGAAGGCTCAAGCGGCGTCTTTCTTTGGCACGGCAGTATCAGACATCGCAGATTTAGCATCTTATCTGTCCCAATATCAGCTACACCTCTGACCAGAAACAGCCTAATTGAATTTCAATTGCCAAAACCGCTCCGAAAATAACAATAAACGACGAAATGTCGCCCTTGTTGTAAGACAGCATTATCGTGAACGTAAAGATTGCCCGCGCGACTGCAAACGCCGATTCGACAGGGTGAGATTGCGTGCCAACACGTGAGATTTGTCGTCGGTTTCCATGGAAACTTCTCTCGAGCGTCACACTATTGCCACTTATCCTCTCTCCGTTGCAGCTTTATTCCTCGGCATACTTTTCCCCGTCGAAGTTTGATTATTTGTGTCACCCACTTTGAGCTTTTTTACTGAAAAAGTGCTGGCAAATCGCCAGGGTTCCTCTTCACACTTCAGCTTCAAAATACTGTAACTTCGGCAATGATGTTTAACTTCGAGACCTGCACAAGGTCATTTTCGGAGGGAGGCTGCGAGGATTCAATCCAGATAGCCCAGGGCTGGATTATAAGGGTGGTGGGTTGGCGCATGGGAAGCGGTAGCCTCATGCGCCATCAAAACGTGGGCGTTAAAATGAGGGGTTGGAAAGAAATATGAGGAAAAAGAGGAGAGAAAGCATGTAACGAAGAGAAGCGGTATCCTAGCGGCACTACCACAGTTAATTGGAAATGCCTATACTATCCAGCAAATTGGGGTAGTACCACAATTTTAGGAGATGACCCCTAAAAATTTGTTCCGTCTCTTCGGAAGAATAAAAGGGACCGCGGTAAGTAGAAAGGAACCGAGCCACATCCGTTTTCGCCAAATTTAACTGGGTAATTTAATTTTTTACATGGCGGATTTTTTTTTTGCAAATTTCAGTGAGTCGTCCGCATGGTATGGAAAAAAAACACATCGGATCTAGAGTCCAGACTCTTAAAAACATCGACAAGAAAAAATACTCTCGATTCAACCAGATTTTAGCTTAAATCAAGAACCGAGCCTCTTAATTTGAGCGGATTTCTTTTTGATTTAAGCTTAAATCTGATTGAATCAAGAGTCCTTTTTCTTGTCAATGTTTTCAAGAGTCTGGACTCTAGATCCATTTTGTTTTTTTTGTTTTTTTCCCCAGTGAAGCAAATTTCTTAAAATTTTCAAAAGAATCCACGCTAACGTTCTTTTATAAAAAATCAAATTGCCCAGTTAAATTCGGCGATAACTGATGTGGCTCAGTTCCTTTCTGCGAAACGAGATCTGAATAGGAGTGGACATTTTAAAACACCGCACACTGAAAAAAACCTCCGGCCCTGGAAGTGGGCTATATAAACATGCAGGCCGCGCTCCGGGCTCAAAGGCCGGAAGTTCCAGGCCGCCCTCCGGGCGTAGCTCCCGGAGTAATCGAAGTTACGGCTCCAGTACCCGTAACTTTCGGCCTCTGAGCTCGGAACAGAAGGTATGTCTTTATACCCCGTAACTTTTTTTTCAGTGCAATAGACATACGTGGTTCCAAACTTTGGCTATCGCATTGTCAACGGATACGAACTTTCCCTGAACGCGTGCACTTGTGCATGAAAACAAGGACGTGTGAAGATGTTCGGTTTACTTTCCTCCGATCGCGGAGTGGGAGCAGGCGGGGGCGCCGGGAATGGGAATGGGGACGGGTGGGAAAAATCGCGGGACTTCGCGAGGGGCGCGGGAGGCGCCCGACGAGCGAGACTTATTATCTCCCAATATTAGCAGTCGCGACAAGTTGTCGAGAATGGAATGTCGAGTAAATTGCTTGATAGCTTTAAGGCCGCGGCAAACGGAACAGAATAGGTAATAACCCTCTCGAACGAGCCACGCAACTCGCGACCCGGGACCGGAGAAATATGCAGATCTACTCATCTTCGCCTCTCTCTCATTTCCATCGGCCTTGGTCCGAGATCATGAGTCGTCGCCCCGTTGAAGAAAGGGCGTAGGAGCCGCTCATGTGAACGTCTTCATGCTAAAAGAAACTATGTTGCGTGGAAACCTTAGGCGCATAGTTTCTTTTAGCATAAATGCGGCTATGTGTCATGAGTTCCGTCTCCAGGGTGTCTGCAGACATCAGCAGCATTTCCATCACTCTCTGATGGGTCCAGCCCGTGCATCTTCTCTGCCGTGCTAAGGAAAAACACCGTATGAACCTTCAAGCGTTGCCGAATTTCCTTTGATGAAATACGAATTCTCTGGTAAACTTTTGAATATTTTCCTTCCAATTTTTCAGATAATTTTGTTCGCAATTTTACCCGAAGTTCCTGAAAATTTCAAGGAAAATTATTTATAACCTACCGCAAAAATGAACATTTTATCGAAGGAAATTTGGCA